TATTGGCCCCTCTCCATGGTCCGCCATCTCAGAACTAAAAAACACATTATATCATATTTCCTACTCTTTCAGGAAAAGGGTCTTGACGGTATTAGCTTAATTTTCAGTTTCCGACGAACGTTTCACGCTGAAAAGCCGAATTTTTTCCCGATCTAAAATAACTAGCACTCTCGTGGCACGTTGAAGAGGTTCCCCCGGAAGCAAAATCTTTTTAGCGTTCCGTTTATCCGAAATATGCGGAAATATGCCTCTTATTTCTGGCAGGAAACCGTTCGCGGCATAACTAGAGCCATTTACTTCGGTCGCATCAACGAGCTCTTCTTCGTTTCTGCATGACGTAGATTCCTGGTATCGCGTTTGGTATGCTTGTCCCACCTTTGAGGCCCGATATCCACGGAAGATAAGGGTGTTTCCTTAACCACTTCAGAAATAGATCTTTCAAACTTTAATTAAGCGTGGACATTTATTTTTCGGTACAAAGGTTTGCAAATCCATTAAACGTGTAAACAGAATTCCTGTTCAGTCGTTGAACGGCAATTCAGGACAGATTTACCGTCGAACGTTATACAACGACCATCAGCTTCCGTTATTGGATAACACTTGAGTTACATGTGTTTTGCTTCGCGTCTGTTTAACGCTGTAAGTTAATTAATTCGCAATCGGGCGTAAGTGCGCGCCGAACATGGGCAGAATTTCGATTGCTCCCGCTCGAACGTCAATCTCGACACAGTTTATTCCTTTGCCTCGTTAATCGTCGATTTGTCATTAAAGGACGATATGAATTCAATTCGACGCTATAATTATTTTAATTTGAAACAATATAGAATAGCAAGGACGTGTTAAGGATGTAAACGTTTCGAAACATTCATAAGGTGTTTCTTGGACGGTGATGTTCTAGCAGGGCGCAGAAGGCGAAACGAAAGCGAGCTGCTCGTTTTGGACGTTATTTTCGCGGAGGCAGTTACCCGGAAAATTTGCATCTTTTTCTGCTCGTCCTTCGCAGCGGTGCTTCTTTTCATCGTCGAAGGAACGACTTGGCCACGGCAGCGAAAGAGGAGATAGCGCGGTGGCAAATTTCTTGGCGACTCTTATCGCGAACCGGAGGTACGTTCGTTCGTCGTTTGCGACCGACCGACGAACACGACGACGTCATTTTCTTTCGTGGACGTACCTTAAACTCGCTTCCACCGTTTCACCGAAGACAAATGGTTTTTGTTGCTCGCTCCACTTTTTCGAACGCAATTCTTCCAACGACCCGGTACTATTCTCTTTTCACCGTCTTAGCTGTAATTGAACTCTGAACGGCCGGTTGTAATTCTTCAGAAAAATATCGCGTGTTTATAGAAATTTCTAAAGTAAATCAGGAAGAAATCCATCAAGGTTCGCGCACCTTATTTCGTCGGAACATCCGCTTTCTCCCGGTGACACGACGACGACGATGTCATCGTCAGTTTGTACTCTCATCCCCTCACAGGCATCGATCAGGCATGTTTTCTTTCCCGTCGGGATAATGTCGAAGATTCCTCGATGAAAATTCGCGGAATTCAGCTGTGTGCGGAATACCTAACGGGCAGGGAGGCAGGATCCGTGGAAGGAGATTTGACAAATGGTTTTATCCGGCAGTTGACGCCTCAGTTGACGCGCGTACGTGCAGGTGACACGTGTCGCGTGTGTCGCTTCGTGTGACCCCAGCCCCAATGGGAACCTGAGAATATGTCATTCCTCGACGTTCGTGAAATGGATGGTGCGGCTTGACGCACCCTCGATGCTGAAATTTCGGACGACGACGCCGCGTCGGTGCCGATTTCACGCGTTTCCGTCGGAGATTTTCAGCTGGACGAAATAATCCCTTTGATGATCCGATTATCGATCGTAGGAATATCGATCCAGATTTAATAACGAGGCAATTTCCAAAGATTTATGAAAATAATATAGGGTAACGTATGCAATTGTAACCCTTTTCCTCTGACGGCGGACCACGGAGAGCGTCCGATAAGACGGCGGACCATGGAGAGGGCCCGCTAAAACAGCGGACCCTGGAGAGAGGCCACAATATTAATTTAATTTTGCTATATAATAACTGTAGATAGACATTATCCTACGTCAGGTTCGCGCACATGGCCGCGTGTTTCGAAATTGCGTGTCGAGGACGGCAAGTGGGGAAAATCGAGTCTGAAAAGCGATCAGGAACGACTGTGCCGGAGGAAAAGGGGAGGAGGCCGTGGAACTCGCTAATTGCAAAAAACTTACTGCAACATCGTCCACGGCGTTCTTCGACTAACAAAGAAACAACGAAGCAACTGAAATACACGATGTATTTGGTCAGCTTGGACGCTTTCCACGTTGCTCGTTCACGCGCGCCACCAGGTGCTGCCGGTTTAATTAATTTTTCCCTCTGCAAACAGCGCGTCGTTTCCTCCAATTCACCCTTGTTCCCTTGTTTGATCGGTAGAGAATTGCTGTTCCCGTGTAAACACCGGGATTACGTGATCGCGGGATTCGATCAGTGGTTCTCGGATCGTCTGGAAAATTTTCGAGGATCCTTAACCCCTGCGACCGTCTAACGATCGAATCGCGTGATCTCAGGAAAAATTAAACAGCCGTAAATTTAATATACCCTCTTAGATTAACCCATCGACGAATCGTATTTCCCGCGATGTAAGAAAAATTAAAGAGGAGGAATCTCGAATCGTTTCTCTCTGCTCATATTACACGAACCGCGGTAAACGTAGAAGAAAAAAAAGGAACGTATAAGTGGCTCGTGAATTGTTCGCTATTTTGTGGAACGCCAGCTGCGTTTTATCTTTACGACACCGGCAACGCGTGCCGTTTCCACCTTCTGCAAACTTTTCCCACCGCTCTAATAGACGCATTGCAGAGCTCTCGAACGTCTCTGTTTCGTGTATCCCTGCGAAGGAGAAAGCAATCAACCAAGATGAATTTCATTATTCTTGCGACTCGTGAGGAAAATTAATTTTGCGAGATAAGTGGCGAATGGGAGGATGAAATATATGGTCAACGATTAAATGGTACCTTTACAAACAACAGGAATAAGGTAATCGATATTTCAGTCGAGCCATCATCTTTCACGGGGAAACGTCGGATCAATTATACGGTTCATTCTGTTCACGAGTGATTGTAGGTTCAGTCCTCGCTTCTAATGTGGGCCTAATTATTCCTCTCTCTATGGCGTCCTTTGTAACCGGTACACACGATCGAATTACCGATGTACGTATTACGTTTTCACTTCCGTGTCGCCCGAGGCTTGGGTGAAATTATTTTCCAAGTAGCGAACGATCGAAATCTGTCAACGAGATACTCCACGTTCGAGCGTGTAATTAGCGTATTGCTTAATCAGTTGGCGATGAAATTTCGAGGGAATTCGTTGGACGGTTAGTTAAACGGGAAGATAATTGAGCGGCACTTGAATTGATTCTTTTATGAACGCGATACATCTCTTAATTAATTTCTTCAGCGACGCTTGAATAAAAATTAATCACTAGTGTTTTATCATAGCTTGCGCGCGAAACCGTTCGTCCCTCGTTAAATACCAAGGAAAAACGTTTAATCTACACCTCCCCCCGCGTAACTCGCGGTCAAAGTTAAATTACCGAAAGCGATCAAGTTAAATTACCGAAAGAATAATGAATCGCGAACTCTCTGTTTCGTGTCTGACCGCGTACCGACACTTTCTACTTAACCAATTATTTCACTTGCTTTAACGTTGAATCATCGACTCGTTAATTATGCAGCCGGCCGTGTTAAAGTGTTAATTATTGACCGCACGATCGGTTAATTTTCAAATTTCAACTTTCAATTTACCAGGTTACATTATTAATATAATAGCTAGTAATTTGATTATATATAAAATTTGATACCGCGATCGACGCTTTAACATGTTTAATTCGAACGCGATTAACACGTGTCGCGATTCTTAAATTCCAATTTTCCAATTGCTCCAAAATTGATATAACGCGATTTAAAATCTCCTTTAATTTATTTTCTATCGTTCGTCCGATTACGTTTGAGGCGACGGTCATTAGCGAGTCCCGGTACGACGCGTTAATTATTTGACTAAATTAAATTGGTAATGTCAGTCACAGGCGGTGAACGTCGCGGTAGTTTGTAACGACGATTAGGTCGAGCGAAACGAACGGTCGCAGGCATGTAGAAAAAAAAAAAAAAAAAAAAACAGAGAGACAGGGTAGATTTGGTTTTGCTTTTTAGGTTTGCTCGTAGCGAAAGTTTCATGGGCCGAACTGACCGGTGCCATTCGATACCCTTTAGGGGATTTAAGCAGTGATCGATGAAATCGTTGTGTTTCGCAGCAATTCGCTGCAGGCTTGCCAGTGGTTACGTACGACCGCACGCGTCACTCGTTTCGACATGTTTGAGCATAGCGAAACGCGGCCAAGCGTGCTCCCAATTAATTTCCAATCGATTATACAAGCTGCGTTTTAATGTCACGTAACAGGCAATCTCTGCCTGCTGGTTATATTACTATATTACATTTCACGATTGGGATATTTCAAAGAAATACGCAAGATTCTGTTTACCAATGTCAGCAGTGTCTTTATTCAAAATATACAAATTTTATGATCTTTAGATTAATAGTAAAATATATATATATCAAAATAGAATATCTCAATTAAAATTAGACCAAATGACTTGAAGTGTTTTTGAAAAGCTATAAAAATTAATTTACTAAAATATGTGCTTTTGTCGTTTTGAAAAATTACAATTTGTTGAAATCGTGACAAAAAAATAGTGAAGGGTAGTTTCTTAACTTCTTTATGTGAGTCTATAATGAAAATTTAAGATCTGTCTTTCGTAGATTCAGATACGTTACGTGTACGCTGAAAATTTCACTGAGATCGGTCAAGGCAATTAAAAGTTATGAGTAATGAAAATTTTCGAAAAATCGTGACATTTTTTGTAGTTATGATTTTAGGTGAAAAGTCGCGATTTTCGGAAATTTTCAATAAATATATCTGTTTCAGATGTCCTGACAGCGGGCCCCGGGCCACCAGGATGCCGACAGACGACGACTATGGCCGAAGAGAACGTCTCCTATTGCACCAACATCCGATCTCTCAGTTCGGGCCCTCGTCATCTCCGGTTCCAGGATCGAACGCCGGCACATCCGGGAGCGTGGGTCCTCAGATCGGTTCGAACGGCACCTCAGACTGCTACAAGCAACAGCAACAACAACAACAACAACAACAGCAAACGGATCTACGATCCGCTAACACATCGAACGCCTCCGGTCAGGATCGTTACCAGTCCGAGCAACCGAATCAAGGTAACGAACACGTTGATTATGGAGGCCGCGAACGGATGTCGGGGATCGAGCGGCAAGACAAGTCAACGGACAAGCCGTCGATCGAGGATTTTCCAAAATCCTGCCCGGACGCTCGCTCGATACAATCGGGTTGCGAGCGATTCGGCCATTATCAGAATCAAGAGAGATACGTACAATCCTCTTTGCAAACTCAGCATCAGTTCACCCCAGGGAGATCTAGCTCGAGCAGCGGACAAACGCTGTCGCAGAACGTGTTGGGGGAACGTTTTCCACGATTCAACGAGCTCGCGGGGCTGCACGGTGAGCAGAGGTTATCCTTGGCTCCGAGCGAACGGTATCAACAGGCTAACGGTAGCGGGAACGAGTTGCGGTTCCATCATCCCGGCAACGAGCTGGTGTCGTCGACGGGAAACGAATACGCGAACAGTCAGATCCTGGTGTCCGGTTGCGCGACCAGTCCGTTCTCGTCAGAGACGTTTCCATCACCGCCGTCGCCGGCGCCCGCGAACGATCGTTTCGTCCCACCGCCGCCATTGTCGCCCAGCCCGAGCGAGAAGTATGCCTCGACCCAGAGTCTGGCTGGTTATTCTCCTGCTGATAGGATTCTGCCCCCAAGTTCTCCAAGCGCCCGATATGGGGGCGGCACAGCACCAGCCTCACCGATGCCAGCTAAGGAACGATTCTCATCGGCCGAACGATTATTGGCCAATCAACAGTCGTCGAGCGGCGTGCACGAGTCCAAGGATCAGCAACGATACACTGGAAGCAACGATCGACTGTTGTCAGGCTCGTCGCCGGTGTTGGGAAGCTTACAAGGCGACCGAGGCAACGTGTACGCGGCCAACAAGGATTCGACCGGATCGCGATACGGTGCTATCTCAACGGACAGATTGCTCTCTGCGTCGCCTGTACACGCACCGGTCCCGGAGAGGTTCGCCGGTAAATCGACGGACAGGTACATCGGTGATTCACCGGTTCACGAACGATACCACAGACAGGAGACGGCATCGAGCGTTCATCACGAGCGTTACACGACAATGTCGTCGAGCAACGACAGATTCATCGCGAGTTCGCCAAATCCCGAGGGCGCGCATCAGCGATACTCGTCGACGGAAAGGTCCCTGCAAGCGTCGAGCAACGCCACTAACGAACAGAGACGTTTGTACACGGATCGTGGGGTCGAGACGGTTTGCCAGAAGTATACCGATCGATCGAACGGCTCACCGGTGCCCACGGAGTTCAGCAGGTACTCCAGCTTCCAGGAGGTGGGCGCCGGTCCAGCGGGCAGGTACGTCAGCACCGGCGATCGTTTCAACGAGCTCGCGATACAACGTTGCGGTCAGTCGCGAGCCAACGATAGATTCTGCGTCTCCACCGATCGCTATCTCGCCAATTCATCCCCGGGACACGATGGAAGACTCGCGAACACCAGCGATTCCAGGTACACCGTCTCGGCCTCCTCCACCGAAAGACTACTCTCGGCTACCTCTTCCTCCTCTTCTTCCTCCAGCGATACCCTCGCCAGGTATCACTCCTCCTACACGAACACCACCGCCGCCGCCCAGTCGTCCACGTCCAACGACCGCTTCACCTCCATCTCGCCCACTCCCGAAACGGCGAACGCCGCTCTCAGAGGTGGAACCGGGACCGCGACGGGTACCGGAGGCTCCAGCTACCAGCCTGCTGCAAAGACCAGCGTGGACAAGTATCTCCAGGTGTCAAAGTCTATCCAGAGCTACGGGAACGATCGGTACAACCCGGTGTCGAATCCGGGGGATCAGTTCGACCGGCTCAGCCAGGATCGTTACGACAGATTCTCGAACGCGGTCGGTAACAGCGATCGATTTACAGCCTCGAACGCTACTCCTGATCGTTTTCACTCTGCTGCTGATCGATACTCTCCGGCGCGTACCGCGGACAAGTACCTGTCCCTGCCGAAGCCGAAGGATCGATACACCAGTCGCATAACACCGATATCCTCCTCCTGCGGCACCTCGGTCGTCGCCACCTCGACCGATCGCACCTACGGCTCGTCCAACGCCACCGGAAGTTACGTCCCGCCTACGGCCCACACCCCGGTCGAACGATACGTGCCCCAACCACCACCGGAGGTGCTGTACCCCGACAGATACGTGGACAGGTACGTGCCACCGTCGGCTCACACGCCGACCGATCGTTACGTGCCCACCAACGATCCCGGTGATCCTTACATGAGACGAGATCTCGGCTTTCACCATCATTATCGGCTACCACCACCCGCCGGTTACCCGTACCATCAGTCCCACTTCCGTCTACGCGGTTTCGCTTACGCGTCGCCCGGCCGTCTCGGCGGCAGCCCCGGCTCCAGCAGTTCCAGCAGCTCCGCCTCCAACCAGAGGGACGGCTTTTCGATGTCGCCGTTGCTGAGACCCAAGGTGCGCGCCTCGGCCGTCGAATTCCCCGCCACGTCCACCGGCGTCGTCGGACGTCACGTCTGCACCAATCCACCGTCTTGCTGCAGCGAAGCGACTGGTGGGAACGGGAGGTCCTGTTGCCAGGCCATCAGGAGATCTCTACCACCCGGGCCGCTACCCTCGATACCTACGCAGTCGTCCTGGTGAGTCTCATACGTATACACGTTTTTATTTCAAACGCTAATTGTAACAACTCGATCCCCCCCCCTCCGCTCGTTAAATCGCGCTTCTTGGAAAATGAAAAGGATCTCTCAGCTAACGATCGCAACGTTGCAAAGAGTTTCAAACGCGAACGTGTTGCGTTAATCCTAGAAACCAGAGGAGAAATTCTAAGGGTAGAGAAGAAAAAAAAAAGAATTAATTGCAGCACAAATGAAAGTCAACGAACGGATAAAAGGATATCGCGCGAGCGGAGAGCTGAGCAGTGTAGCCGGGGATTAAGGAATACAGAGGATTCAAGATAATATACGTGTTTCCTCGTAATCGTACGCCTTTATGATAAAGCTCAGGAATTAGAATAGCCGAGCTATTTAATTGCTGGATGAACGTTATTTATAGACCGGCGAAGAAAGTTACGACGAATCGTTCTAACTTTCTTTCATCTTCCTTCGATATAAAAGCTGGTCGGGATTAATACGCGCCTACGAATTTCCGCGCCGCGAATTTATAGCGGCCTTAATGTACCGATACCGGCCACGCGTTCAATTTTTCATCGTTAACGCCGCAAGTTTACGCCGTATCGGGCTTCCGATGAAATTGATTCAATTCGACGCCCGGCTTTCCATCGAAACGTATTAAGCGTTACACGGGAATTTCATTTCGCCGGAACGTTTTTTTTTTTATCATCGATGCTCCTTTGACCGCGAAAGTTATTGCATATTTTGAAAATACTTTTAATCTATCCGTTAAGTGTTCGCGGTTTAACCCATTCGTATCGGTGAGACAACACTAATGCAGCGATTCAATTTTTTATCTTTCATTTTTTTTAACATATCGGTGAGATTTTTCTGATTAAAATCCAAACATGGTATTCTTATAATAATTTTAAAATAATCTTATGTTTTGTATCTTTCTGCAACTTCATATGATTTTTTACAGTACGAATAATTTTGTAATTATTTGTAATTTTTTATAAGAATCAACAATTTTAATCAGAAAAATTTCATGTATTAATATCATTTTTATTTAAAAACATAGTGTTGTTTCACGAATATATGTCAGCTCCAAATCTTCTCCTTTTATCTAATGTCTCTTTCTACGTTCGCCTGTCCCAAATTCTGAACACCTATCTTCTCATCGATCTATAATAAAAAACAGAAAAATTTACCTCGATTTTGATAGAACAGAATCGAAAAATAGTAGGAAGATCCGGGAGGTGTCCAGGAGAGGACTGTTTGTTCGAGAGTAGGTAAATCGGTGTTTGAAAGAACGTTAGTTGAAAACGAACTGGAATATAGGCCGTGTCCACATTTAGCAACGTTGCGCGGAAGCCGCGAGGGTAGAAAGGGTCGTTACTTTCGCGGCAGTAATCAGGTTAATGGAGTATCGTGGCCCACTTTATTTTTTCATCTTCATCGGCTCGCGCGTCTCTCTGACTTCGCCTCTTCCTTTCCTCGCGTTTCAAAGTCAATGATGCATTACAATCCGAAAGCTTTAGCACGTTCTACCCGACCGCGGAACCTTGCTGATTTTTTTTCCGATCCATTGTCTACGTCGTGTACGCTTTTCGAAGGATACAGTTTCGAAAGAAACGGAGAAAGAATAAAGCTCGGTGATCTTAGCCGTTCTCTGCACAGTTGCCAAGACGAGTTACAATTGTAACGCGATTTAAATGGTCGACGATAGTCGGAGATAGGGTCATTTTAATCCTGCCTCGTTACCGGCAATTTCCTGTTAACCGGAGGGCTGTTTAATTAAAGTCTAGAAACGACGTCAGCAAATGTTCCCGCCGGAAAACAGACGGATACTGGCTGGAGTTTCAGCGAGTGTACCGAAAGTTGAGGGTACAATGGACCGACAGAGAAGGGGGGTAGTTCCTCCCCTTCGCCCGAAAACCGAGCCAAGGCTGACTCCCTTCGGTCCGAAAGGGTGCAGGAGATTACGTAGGCACGCTCGTTCCGCTGAGCGTTTCAGTTTGCTTTCGGATATCGGCTTTACCCTCGCGAATTCTACGCGCCAGTTTGCCGACAGCTTTGTGCTGGTCAAACCGATCGTCGTCGTCCACCATGCTCGACTATTCCGTACGAAAACATAGACCGTGTCTTTATGTATATTTAAAGACGCGGTAATTTCTCTTCGAACCTGTTGTAGTTTATTAAGATTGACAAGGGTACGAACGATTTAAGCTCGGTCGTTTGATCAGAGAATAGACTTGGACGAACTCGAAGAAACTTCGTTGTTAGCTTTCATCTTTCATGCATGAGAATTTTCTCCTCGTATCAGCCTAGTTTCCGGCGAGTTCGTTTGTGTTAACAACCGGAAAGACCCGACACGGTGAAAGTTCGATCCGTGTTCGCGATACACTCGGATTAACGAGGCGATTAGAACGATGTGTGGGTGTTTCTGAAATTAAACGAGTTAGAATTACAATTGTACATTCGCGATCAAACGAGCCTTCCCGGTTTACGGATTCCCGGATGTTCATTCCCCTTAGGTGGTACCGGGAAGAATGAGAGAAGGGATGTCAAAATTAAAATTTTTAAGAATTCCTGCTTTTTCTTGGAGAAAGTTTGATTTCTTATCGTTAGATACACTTTTGTCATTGCTTTATTTTATAATTTTAATTGATCTCGTTATTTCGTTTCATCTAATATGGAATTAATTATTACTCATACTTCTCAATTATATACCAAATTTTATAATATTCAATGATTTAAAACTGTATTATTTTATTTCTAATTTATTTCTAATTAATTAATATCGTCAAAATTAAAATTTTGAGAATTCCTGCATTTCCTTATAGAAAATTTTATTTTTTATTGTTAGATATATTTTTGTCATTGTTTAATTTTACAATTTCAATTGATTCCCTCGTTTCACCTAACGCGGAATTAATTATTGCCAACACTTCTCGGTTATATACCAAATTTTATAATATTTAATGATTTAAAACTGAATTATTTTATTTCTAATTCATTTCTAATTAATTAATATCGTCAAAATTAAAATTTTGAGAACTCCTGCATTTCCTTATAGAAAATTTTATCTCTTATCGTTAGATACACTTGAAATTTCAATTGATTTTCACGTTTCGTTTCACCTAACGCGAAAAACTGAAATCCTATCAATCTCCCCCGACATTATTCGCGTCTGTTTACTTTGCTCTGGCAAATAATGTTCGAGACGTCTGCAAATAATCGCGGGACAACATTTCCGGCGCAAAGGATACCGCGAGAGCTGCTTCTTTCATTTTGCTGCCGGCTGAAATGAAACTCGTTAACAACAATCGTTTCCGGGTAGAAGAAAAATATTGCCTCCAACCTCTAAACGATTTTCTCGTTCCTTCTCTTTTTTTTCTGCAACGCGTTGTGCATTAGCCTCGGTGCAGTTCGCATAAAATCAACATCGTTGCGCGCTGTTCAACGAAACTAATGAAACCCTGCCAGGGGAGAAAACTTCTCGTGCGATCAGAGAATTGCAAATCCAACTCGCGCGATTCCTTGAATATTACACCAGATACATCGTCTTGGAACACTTTGCGAATATATAGTGTTATCCAAATTGAATGTCACTTCTTCAAATTGAAATAAAACGCAAAGTACGTGATTTTTGTATGGTTTCTTTATTTAAACACAAAGTTTACTTTATGCCATTAATTATCAAAGACAATATTATTCAAATATCCTTGGCTCTTTTCACCCAATGTTTGACCCAATTTTCCATTCCATTTTCACACAACTGGAATTGAATTTCATCAATAGCGTCTGTGATTTTGTTTCTCAGCTCGTCAATAATCTTTAGATAAACTTCACTTTTCAAAAACCCCATAAAGAAGTCTAATGGTGTTAAATCACCCAATCATGTTCTCGTGAAAAATTACTCGTCATTTTTGGAGAAGGACCCTTGAATAATATTGTCTTTCATAATTAATGTCATAAAGCAGACTTTTTATTAAAATAAACGAACCATATAAAAATCAGATACTTCGCGTTTTATTTCAATTTGAAGATGCGACACTTAATTTGGATAACTATATTTTCAAGCTCGTATGGTTCTGATTTATACCAGCTTTCGCGTCTCATCGACAAATGATTATTTGACGATAGTTGGCCTGTTTTGTAGCGAACAGGAGTTGACAATGGGGAAGATTCGTAGGCAGGAACGAGGCGGAAGTCATAAGGTTAACACCGCCTGCCGTTGTCTTACGGAAACGACGAGTTCCCACGTGCCTTGTTGGCAAGTTCGGTAATTACGTCGCGTCCTTCGTCGTACGAAATTGCACCCTGACACCGGTCGTTCCCACGCGAGATCATGCCCGACCCTTTCAATTAAGCCTTTTTATTCCCGCGACACCGAAAATTGCCCGCTCGTGAGTCGCCTACGAACGATCGGTGTTTTCAAAACAGCACGATTATGGTTATTAAATGGCCCTCCTCTAGGATCTTATTAAAAATCCTCTCCTCTTCCCTCTGAAAAACGGAGGAGATATTTTTCGTTGATTTTTGTAAATTTCAATTTTTCTTCGTCGATTCTTTTCGAGGGATCTTATTAAAAATCCTTTCCTCTTCATAAAAATTTATTTAAAATTGTAAAAATTTTACATTTCTCGTTGATTTTTCTAATATTCAATTTTTCTTCGTCGATTCCTTTCGAGGGAATCGAGTTAATCGCCGGCCGAAATCCGTGCTCCAAATTATGCGTCCGGACGCCAATCCAGCCGGCGAGTTTAATTACTCCCGATAATCGAGTAGATCCTTCGTAACCTTCTCCTCAAAGGAACAGATTGCACCGACTTCGAATGCTATTCCGACACCGAGCCGGAAATCAGGGAATATAAATGAGAGACATCCTTGGCGTAAGGAATCGCTTGTTCGCACTTCCAGAGTAATAAATTCTCGTCGAACTCGTACGAAGACAAGTTCATCGTATCCTTCGAGTTGCATAAAAATTTTGAAAATTTTGTATTCGAGTATCGTTCTCAGTT